CACTACAAACCTGATCAAAGATGTGACCCCTCAAACAAACGCTCTAAGCTGATAGTTACACATACCTCACATTTGATATTTGTCAAAATTGATTTCAACTTGCATGCAGATAGTGAACGAGATGCTGCGTCTTCCTGACATGAATGTCAATGCTCTGACCAGAGACCACAAAACAGCGCTCGACATCGCAGAAGACCTCCCCCTCTCAGAAGAATCCTCAGAAATAAAGGAGAGCCTCTGCCGTTATGGTGCGGTCAGAGCCAATGAGTTGAATCAACCAAGAGACGAGCTAAGGAACACGGTGACCCAGATTAAGAAAGACATTCACACCCAGCTAGAACAAACCAAGAGGACCAACAAGAACGTCCATGGCATTGCCAAGGAGCTCCGGAAGCTCCACCGTGAGGGGATAAACAATGCCACAAACTCAGTCACCGTGGTGGCCGTCCTCTTCGCGACGGTAGCCTTCGCCGCCATCTTCACTGTCCCTGGCGGCGACGACGACAATGGGATGGCCGTCGCCGTGGCCCATGCCTCCTTCCAGATCTTCTTCATCTCCAATGCCATAGCCCTCTTCACATCCCTTGCGGTGGTGGTGGTTCAGATCACTTTGGTCAGGGGGGAGACAAAGGCAGAGAGAAGGGTGGTGGAGATCATCAACAAGTTGATGTGGCTAGCTTCCGTGTGTACCTCCGTGGCATTCATGGCTTCTTCTTACATTGTGGTGGGGAGGAAGTATGAGTGGGCTGCAGTGTTGGTTACTTGCGTGGGTGGGACCGTAATGACGGGGGTGCTCGGGACCATGACGTTTTATGTGGTGAGGTCTAGAAAGATTAGATCAACAAGGAAGAGAGAGAGGAGTGGTTCGAACTCATTTCTTCACTCCGAGTTGTCTAATTCGGATATTGACCGGATTTATGCCATCTAAGTGGAATAAGGCTACTTGGTGACTGTTTAGAGTAAGAAGTATGTACCAACTGGCCAGGGATGAAGGATCAAAGGGCTTTCTTTTCGAATCATTCCGATGAATTAACCTTTAACATGTTTAGCCAGCCATGCGCAGAGGAGAGACATCTGTCTGCTGTCTCATATTTTTACTGCTCTGAAATTTTCAAAAACCTACTGGAATGCCTCCATCAAGAGAAGGCACGCAGAACTGTTGTTTTGTAACATACTCCGTATTAACTATCACGTTTCAAGCTAGAGAACATGCATCTTTAATAATTGGCAACTTGTGTGTTTAAACCGAGAATGTTATTGTACAATACTGAGATGTCAGGTTTCTGCTATTAGTTGCAAACTTTCAAATGCTGGAAAGAAGGATGCACTTGCGGCGAGAACACTTCTTAACATGAGAAATAAGAACTCTCCAAAATGATGCACATTATGGTTCACAAAAATGTACATATGTAGTCAAAGTAATGCAAAATTCAAATGTGCACATTTACGCTTACACTTTTGCACAATTAAAATACACATTTTCCAATTTTTGTTATGCACATTTAAGGTCTGGGGGAGGGGCTGGAGTAATCAGGGCTGAAACTCATTCCATTGAATTTCGAACCCTTATGTGCCTAGCGGGTTTCAAATTCGAGACCTTGACCGGATTTATGCCATCTAAGAGGAATGAGACTACTTGGTGACTGCTTAGAATAAGATGTTTAACATGTTTAGCCAACTGGCCAGGGATGAAGGATCGAAGGGCTTTCTTTTGGAATCGTTCTGATGAATTAACCTTTAACATGTTTAGCTAGCCATGCATAGAGGAGAGATAATGGCTGTCTGATGTCTCATATTTTTACTGCTCTGAAATTTTCAAAAACCTACTGGAATGCCTCAATCAAGAGAAGGCATGCAGAACTGTTGTTTTGTAACATACTCTGTATTAACTATCACGTTTCAAGCTCAGAGAACATGCATCTTTAATAATTGGCAACTTGTGTGTTTAAACCGAGAATGTTATTGTACAATACTCAGATGTCAGGTTTCTGCTATTAGTTGCAAACTTGCAAATGCCGGAAAGAAGGATGCATTTGCGGCGAAAACACTTCTTAACATGAGAAATGAGAACTCTTCAAAACGATGCACATTATGGTTCACAAAAATGTACATCTATAGTTAAAGTAATGCAAAATTCAAATGTGCACATTCACGTTTAAACCTTTACATAGTTGAAATGTACATTTTTAAATTTTTTGTTATGCACATTTATGTTTTACATGATGCATGATAATTAGATCCGACGCTCAAGAATCATTCTCATTTTTCTCCTGAGATGATATTATCATATGATCCTTACTCCCGGAAAGATCCCCAAATGTGTGGGTCCCATATTTATTGTGGTACCCTTGTCGCTCTGGCTCACCTTGCCCTTCTGGCCGGCCAAAGAGTGAGGCAGAAAAAGAGGACTTGCAAGTGCATTGTGGAGGTTGGGTGGAGGTGGGGAGAGACGGGTGGCCGGTGGAGGAGCGGAGATCCAGAATCTGTAATCTAAGGGTACAAAAAGTTGCTAGATCCAGAAATTTTAATCTAAGGGTACAAAAAGTTGCTAATTAGGATGTTTTCTTTTGGATTCTTTTCATGACCAGACCAGACTTGAAGAATTATAAAATACACAAAGACCAGACATTCACCAGTTCAGACCAGATCGGACGATATCAGACCTGAAGTCCTAAACAACAAATTACAGTCTAAAATAAAACATCCTTATTATGTGTAAAGAAGGGAAGAAAATTATGTATTGTGTGTTATCATATAATGTATACATATTCTATTGTGTAATATATTGGGGAAATGTGTAAATACACTCCTGAAGTATGTGAGGAGGTGCAAATATACCCTAAACTTCTAAAAGGTGCAAAAATATTCTTAATATTCATATAAAGGAGCAAATTTACCCTTATAGACAATAAATAAATAAAATAAATTTAAAAATAAATTATAAATTGAAATTTTAAAATTGAAAAACAAAAAAATTAAAGAGTTAAAAATAAAGATTTATTTTTATTTTAAAATATTAACTCTTTAATTTTAAATTGTAAAATTATTAATTTTCCTCTTTAAATGAAGCATTTCAATTTTATAGATATTAATTTTAGCCTTTTTGCGAAATTTTGAACACTTAGTTACATTTTTGAAATAACATTCTTTGGTTTTGTTTAAACTTAATGAAATTAAATTCACTATTTTGTAATCTTGGACTATTTATCATCATACAAAATATGTAATTTTAGTGCAAAGAATACCAAAAATTATTGTTTTTTTACATTGCAACACATATACTAACACTTTTTCCGAAAGAATATAATCATAAATATATAGTAAAATTTCGAAACAATTTTTTATTCTAACAATACTAAAAATAATAAAAGGGGGGACCGGACTCAATTAGTTTTTTTTTTTTCAATTTTGAATTTTAAATCTATAATTTATTTTTGATGTTTTTTAAAATTTATTTAAAATCAATAAGGGTAAATTTGCTCCTTTATAGGAACATGAAGGTCATTTTTGCATCTTTTAGAAGTTCAAAGGTATATGTGCACCTCCATATTTACTTCAGTGGTATATTTGCATTCCCCCCTATTATATTTTGTATTACAGATTATAATGTTTAATGTATTATACTTAATAATATATTTTTATCAAATGTAAATTATGTATTATGGCAGATCTGACTTAGGGTAAAGAAGGGCCCAGATCTACCCTAAAAATTGATCTAGTACATAGAGTATCGTTATGTCAAGCGCGACTAACCGGAATCTCCGTGCAGAAAATCCCATCTGAGGTACTTTTAAGTGGTTTTTTTGACGAAAATTTGTGATCATGTTCTTCATGAAGTGTGGATTATGGATGTTTTTACTGGGGCTGTAATTTGCTGGTCTGGTCTGATTTATTTAAATCTTGTCTGGTCTGTTTAAGTCTGGTCTGGTAAACATCTGGTCTCTGTGTATTTTATAACTACAGAAGTCAAGTCTGGTTTGGTTTGGTTTGGTTTGGTCTGAGACTGAAAACAGCCCAAGTAAAAACATCTTATGTCCACAAAATTTCACCTTAAAATTCAATCGAAAAGTAAGTTAAATAAATTGTTGAAAAGCATTGCGCTTGTAAAGATGGTGCACAATTAGGACATCTATAATGGGAGGGTTAATTGTAGTGATGTGACATAGGAGAGAGATAGTAATAAAATATGTATAGGGAAAAGTGAAAAAGAGGAAAAGATAGAGATAAAATGTAGACCTAGGTCTATGAGAAGGTCCACGAATAAACCTTACACGAGATTCGAGAAGGGCCATGGGCAGGCAGGGGTCATGGGAGCAAGGGAAGGGGTTGGGGTAAGGGGTTGGTCCAAGGGCAAGGTCTTGTGAGACTGACTTCTGAGCCTACTTACGATTCTTTATGCTTTGTCGACAGCGGATGATCTAGGGCATATGCTAATTATAATGAAAAATGTAAACGGTCATAGAATTTTGATGGGGTGATTCATTGTAGTTAAACATGTTATTGATATTGCCACTACACTTTCTTTAAAAAGTGACATTGATAATCTTTTTGATAAGCATAGTCAATGTTAGAGGTCAAAGATATAACTTTTATGGATTGAAGACTCTTATCTTGAGTAAAAATTTGTACACAATATGCATTCTTTGTATTTCTCACTAACTGCAATTAGTTTTGTCAAGGATTTTGCACAAAATAGTAAATTCATATCAAATTCGAACCAAAATTGAGCAACAACGGTTTGCCAGGGAAAAAATAGCATATGGTCTTGACAAAAATGTGCAACTGGCGATAAATTAGCGTCACACCCTTTGATTTTTTGTAATACAATATGATCGAAATTGGAAATGGTAGTATTCTATTTTAAACAAGTATCAACACATTTTGTGGCACAACGTGCATCGTTGGATATGATCTTAGTGACCACTCGACCCGACCCGGCCCATTCCCACCCATGCGACAATGCCCCTACTTGAAAAAACTTCTGGATCCGCTATTGTCTGTTGTGTTTAAGTTGGGATCGAGTAGCTCATTTGAACTTTAGGAACTTCGAGACAATATTAAGACAGACTCCATTCTAAAAGGTCAGTGTAACTCAGCTTCTCATATGTTTGCTTTTATATTTACATTTGATCATCAGTATGAAATGACTTTTTCGAATCAATAAATAAAGGCTAAAAGGTCAAATAGACCATCGAACAAACTTAAAAAGTGCAAATCACCCCTTATATAGGAGGCTCTGTCCGGCCTCCACCATTTGGAGCGGTTCCCTGTGGAATTTTTTGAATAAATTATTTGAACATCTTCTTCATTAAGTCTAGTGTACTCATACCAAATTTCAGCTAAAAATTCAATCGGGAAGGCAGTAAAATGAATTTTTGAAGATAAATGCGTAATTTAACAGCGCAGTACATTTCAGAAAATCATTTGACTGTCTTCCCAGTTTAATTTTTATCTGAAATTTGGTATGGGTAAACTAGAAGATGCTCAAAAAATTTGATCAAAGAATTACATCGGGAACCGCCCCAAATGGCGATGGCCGGACAGAGCCTCCTACATAAGGCGTGATTTGCACTTTTTAAGTTAGTTCGAATGCCTATTTGAAGAGTATAGGATTTTGTAGCTAAAATAGGAACATTGAGGATTCAAAACAGTGAGAAGCAATTTATTATTTTCCATCATTTTTTGTTGAGAGGCATGGCAAAAGAACATGAGATGAGCTTGTTTTGTGCTCCCCAGGATCACTTGACCGCTGCGGAGAGATCATTTCTAAGCCCAGGGAAGATTCTCTGGTGTTTTTACAAGACCTGAGCATACATGTAATACGGAGTATGCAAGATATGAGCATCCATTTTATTCAATGTTTTTGCTAAAAAAGAGCTGTCTACCTTTGGCGGAAGTTGGAAGGAAGGGCTCTCTGTAAAAAGGAACTAGAACAGCACATTTTGGACTTAGTTGCATTATCTGCTAACTCATTGCTGCTCTGCAATGTAGAGAACAAAGGATAATATCGATTAGTTAATGGAATATCTATTAAGATTTTAGTTTAACCTCATAAAAGTCAATTAATTCAAACAAAGACCTGCCTTGCATTTATGGGACCTTTGAACCCCTGCAACTTCATCATCTGGTTCCTTTTTTCTTCTTTCACTAATGAGTCCCATTGCACACTTGCAGGTGAAGAACAGAAGCACCACTCCAAGAGAAACCACAAAAACGAATTCAATAATAATTGATGTACCTATAGCTGTGCACCATTATAACAAGCAGTTTTTTTATTATTAAAAAAGGGAAGTTATACCAGTGAGAAGTGTTTAAAGACTTCGTACCAAAAATGTTCTGAAGGTAATTTGGGTGCTTTTTACCTTTAGACAGAAATGCATTCAGTGGTCTTCTTCTTACCAGATTTACCGTAACCTCTACATACAAAGGAATCGACATCATAGTGGCACAGTCTGGATAGCACCCATAGTTCCCCATATCATTTACTGTCAAAGTCAAAATTGCGCCATCTTTTCCCTGTGTAACAGCAATAGAAAATATACTTATTCATCAAAAAACATAATTGGTAAATTGTATTTTCGGTGCTTTCTGTTGAGAATGAAAGTTTCTGATATGATTCAATCCAAAACCTTATTAACTCATATTGTCGTCTTTACTTTCTGATGTAGAAATCTAAAACCCTCTCACACAGGGGACCAGAACATGTTCTAATATCTTCCATAATAACACTCAGAATTGGGGGTCGTCAACTAGTTTATAAGGCATTTCAGTCAAACTATACTAAAAGGTTTAATCAAATGATTCAAATATATTAACTCATTCAGCCCAAAAGTTTTATTATCACATCTTTCTTTAGCTGTCCTATGCATGACTCTAACAGTTTCCAAATGCATGCATACATGGTAAATTAATTGCTTCATGATAGTGTTGCAGTCGTCAAGTGTTGCGCGAAATCTTATGCCTTTTGCTTTTATGGTAAAGTGTTTCGAGATGGTCACAAATGTCTGGACAGGCTGCCACTGATAACTAATCTTCAGCTTCAGCTCTGTATTGCTAATCAGCTCAGCTGGAAGGTTTAATGACAGTAATCCGGAACTGACTTCCATGCTACACATCACCTGAAACCGGGACTTGTTCCCTACATATATCAGGTGAACAACTCAAATCCTAAAAAAAAAAAGAACAAAAACTTAACATTCATTAACTCTAATTTTCAATGGAAAAATTTCCTAAATATTACTAAATGAATGTCCATTGTTGCGAATTAACATGTGAGCAACAGTCAAACCAACACAGTTATCAACACTGGCCAGTTGACTTTTGACAACTGCGTTGCTAACATCTTATTCCTTGAGTTTAAAAAAATAGTTACAATCCTGTCTTGGTCAATTGACCGTGAGTGATTGCAATGATAACATTTCTGTCCTAAAATTGAAAATTATTGCTGTCTTATGGGCATTTAATTGAAAATTCGCTTGTAAGTTGTGGTTCGTAGATGCTCTCACAGTGTAAATTCATCAAAGTATGTGTCTCTCATCTTCCAAGTCATACCAGGAAAGTTTAGTGCATCTGGGTCCCCATAGAAAACATCAAACTTGTCTTTTTGAGAGTCGAAAACTAGTTCTTCATCAACACTTCGATCCAAGAAAACATATGTAGGGACGTTTATGAATGGAGGATCATTGATAGGCTCCACATATATCGGGATATCTAAATCATTCTTTCCATTTCTGTTTCTAGTAGAAACTGTGATCACATCACTGCCAGAGAAGTTTCCGTTCCTGATTCCAAGTGCACAAACAAGTTAACAATTCATGTTACCAAAGAAGAACAAAAAATAAAAAACAAGCACTTGAGGATTTTTTCAGGATGTCTCTTAATTTGTGGATACCCGAAATACTGAATTGATTGAATTGCAAAATTGATTTCTTCCAAAGTGCCTGACAAAGTTAGTTCTTTAGTCTTCCCCTCATCTTTCATGGATGATACTATCTGGGCAGGTCGCCAAAACTTCATAAGCATAGGAGAAAGGAGGATTGTCCCAAATTTCGCACTGAAAGCAATGCTGATATTCTCATCTGAATCCGAATACATAATCTCAAGGCCAGCAAATCCACTGCAAACAAAAAATATAGAAAACTAAAAAGTATTGTTTCAAGATTTTAAAGCCTAATGACTAATATATGATTAAAATAAAAACGATGGTGGCACATTTGTAGTGATTATAGTGACCATGATGATCTATTTTACTAGTACCAAGATGGTATTTTCAAAGTTACCATGTAGTCCTATTTTTATCCATGGATTTTATTTCAATAATATCATAGAAAACTCCTTTGTTTAAAAACACAGAAAGAACAAGAGAATGTTCATACCCATATCTAGGACTAATTACATCTTCAGTTGCTTGGAGCTGACTAGGGTAAGAAACAAACTGAGGAGGAATGCTGAGGACTGATATGTTCACACATCCAGATGCAAAGTTCCCATTTATATCGGATATTGTGTATGAGAATGAATCGTTTCCAGTAAACCCTCTGTGTGGAGTATATCTAAACAGATGCTCATATTGTAGAAGTGAACCATGGTCAGGCTGGCGGAAAAAGAAGAAGCGGTAAGTCATTTATGAAATGGACATTACTGACTGCACTAAAAAAGATGCAACCTTTGAAAAGTAAGAAGTTGTTGCATTGTCACCCGCAAAGTAGTCATTTTCCAGGGCATTAAAAGCAATGGATTCATCCTCCCACAAACTTACTAAGTCATCGTGTACCACTGGAAAGTACTCACCTATAGATGTAGGGAAAGAATCAGCCCGAAGTGGGAAGCGTTCACTAAAAGGAAATTGCCTTAGATTGGATAAAAATGTTTCTGTGTTCCAAAAACAGGACCACACATTTATGATTCTCTTTTAGGCCTAAAAAATTATGAAATGCCTATAATACCTTTGTAGCAAACATCCATGATTTTGTAGTTGCTGCATTTTATTCAAGAGTTTGTGTGAATGGTCAGGGTAGGGTAATAACACACTCATCATGTCATAGTACATGCATATAATTATATAGTTATACCCTCTCTATATCCATACTAAGGTCACAAATGTATAATAGAAGTAACTTTCATTTTAAGGAATCAATGAGTCATATAGCCCCTCAAAAGATAATGATGTAAAAGTACTCGTATATCAAAACTTTGACAACGTATTACTCCTATTGAAGGCAATTTCCCTTAAATAAAGCTAACACAGAAAGTTGCTGATGTAAGTTTAGAACTTACTGGGGTACACTGTCACAGCAAAGGGGCAGGGAAAGAAACGGTAGCCATCAAATGAGGCACATATGTCATAGGATCCAATATCCATGGCCACATAGCTACCGGTATATGAACCGTCATTGTTGTCAACAAAGCTAGACGTTGAAAAACCTGATCTATTAATTGAAGCAATCTCTAGATTTATCTTAGACTGTTGGGATAGGATCGGGTTAGTATATGAATCCATGAGCTGTACAACTATATCGTTCTTCATCAGCTTTGATACCTTACTAGAGTATTTCACAACCCCAGAAAGAGATGCATTAACCCTGCCTGCATCCAATCATAATATTTTAGTATATGGCCCCTCTATACACATAGAGAATATTTAGACAAATGTATTGATAAAATTCAAGAAGCTAGTTCAACCCTTGGCCTCACTAACCCATACTTTGCTCACATAAAAGTGAAGTTTAAACGGACTGCACCGTGGGCTGATGAATGGGTCACTAGTCCCACTACTCACTAGCCACAGTGCTAGGTGTTAAAAGTGAGCTGGAACTCATTGATACCATTGTTGGGTTGGGATAACTCAACTTGGAATACTTCAATAGAATTCAATATATTAGCCAATTCAACTCAAGGCCCTATCAACCATTTTTTATTTTTTTTTACTCAATGAGACTCTAACATGCAAGTTTATGAGTGTATCCTTTATTAGTTTACTTGTTCTTTTTTTGGTTATCATGCCATACCTGGACTCACTTCTTTTCTAATTGGGTGACCGCCATTCAAAGGAATGTTTCCACAAAAGACTCGAATTTGGTATGGTCCACTCTTTTGAGGTGTATAATTGACATCGAAGATGCTGAACCTCAAGTTTCCAGAAGACTGCATCCCATATTAGGTAAGATGGTCTTCCAATATGTGCCATATAAATAGCTAAAAGAAACTCTTTTAACACAATTTCTTACATTTATATTGTTATCAGCTGTAGGAGTAAAAGCACTCTCTGTTTCAAGGACTTCACTAAGATTGGTTTTACCAGCAAAAAAATCACCTGTGAATAAGAATATCAACACTAGGCAAGCGTAATCTCAAGGAAACATTATGCTCAGTAGAATGGATAATTGATCTACTCTAATACCGTTAACCATCTGCTTTGGAAGTATGCTTGGTTGTAGAGGCTGGGAAGACGCTTCATGGAAAATTTGCACATGAAGTATTTGTAACTCAATTAGAGATGGATATTCAAAAGCGTCTCTTAAGGAAACAGAGAACCTTGAAACTTCACCAGCAACAGAATGATTGAGACCAGTCCCATTAACAATGCTGCTCATTCCATCACAATAACCTTAGAAGAACATTTAGATTTTTGTTTAGCACATCTATCAAAAGAGAATTAAGGGACAACATGCAGCACAAGAAAACTAGAAAGTTCCCAAATTTAGTTTGACATCTAATAACAAAAACATATTCTAATGAATGCAATCCTTATTTCCGAATTTCAAAATTAATCAACAAAGGTCGTCGTCGTCGTCGTCGTCATCATCATCATCATCATCCTCATCACCATTACCCCAGTGCCGCAAAGCTCCCACCTACGATGGAGTAAGCGTGGATCGGATGTACGCAGTCTTACCCCTATACTAAACACAGAGAGACTGTTTCCATATGACTCATAGTGAAAATCGCATCGAAAACTGCATGGTCTGACTGCTGCTTCATAATAAAGAAGCGCAAACAGTTTAGTGAGTCATTTTGCTTTATTCCATCATATTCCCAAGCCAAAGAATAGTGAGCCTTTGGCTCCAATGCAAATGATGGAAAAAACATAGGTCATATACACCTAAAAAATAATCATAATATGTTTTCGATATAATTCGGGATAGGGTTGGGGTCACACTCGGTTAGCTATAAGGCATTGGGCTAAACAACTCCATTCAATGTGAACTTTAGCACTCCCCTCAACTAGACAACTGGTCCACTTCAAATCTAAGTGGTCGGTCAAATTCAAAATTAAACTCTTTGCCCCCCTAAAATTTTGACTCGAAATGCATTACCATTTACCAACACTAACGGACATCATTTAGCCTATTATTCTCTCTTTAATCTCCGGAGGTGAACCATCATTAATATATAAAAACACATATAAGTTGCTGAAGATGTAATAGGAGTGGTTTACACATGAGAACACCTATAAATACTGTAAATTGATATGGCATGTTGGATATGTGGGTCTTCTGCTCCTTATCAGATATCACAAGCATAAACTCCCCTGGTTCGGCTAGGGTGAAGGAAAACAACTGAATTCCAATGTCAACCTCGGTGAACTGCAGATCTGTGACAGGCATTATCAAATTTGTCCCATTTTCCACGATTTCCACATCAAACTCATACAGTCCTGGAACATGATTTCCATACTTATCGTACTGGTGAATGAAACCCTCCATGAGAGAAAATAATTGGAAATATTTTGTTTCAATGCTCCACCGAGCTACACAGCTGGAGACATCTAGTGCCCCTGTAAGAAGTACCACGTGTGAACATAATTGGTCAAAATATGACAAATTCCCTCACTAGATGCCAAGTATTTCTAATCGCAAAACAAGAAATATTTATAACCAGGAGACACATCTAATGGCAGTGGGGAGCCCCTCAGTGTCTGGTTTTCTGCTTGTACATGAAGTAGTAGACTTCCAGCGGTAGCTATGACAAACTCCACGCCCAGAAAGCCAAACTTGTTCCATCCTTTACTGGTGACATTGAGCAAACTTGCAATGGAACCATTTTCACTGTTTGCGGACAAGTTGAAATTATAAGAATTCAACTTATCATCATCATCATTTGAAGAGACATTATTTCCAAATGCATCTTTAGGAAGTATCCAAATCACAGCCTTTGTTCCGGCTACAAATTTTCTCCCTCCACCCGGCCATGAAACAACCCCAGAAGCCGGATGAAAACGCCCTTCATATAAGTTAGCATATAGTTCAGCAAGGAATTTCTCAACAGACTAAAAAGCGTTCAAACTAAAAGTGAAGGAACTGAAGTTAGAAACCAGATGATCTGAACTTTCAAAGTTTGGCTCAACTGATAGATGACAATGATAAATCAAAATATGGAGCGCATAAGCTCAAATGAGCAAAGAAACAAGTTTTTTAGCAGAACTTTCAGAATCCTCTGCTATTTATTTGATCATACATAAACTTTAGTGGCTATTGGAGATTCCAAACCTGGGATGGTACGAAAATGCAGGGACGAATCGAAAACGTTGAAGTTATCATCCGTAATGAGGACATTGAACAATCCAGCCAGGATGGGTATGAAAGAAATTGCCCAGGACTTGACATCACTACCAAATTGCAAAGAAATCCCAGAAATGTAAGAGCTGTTTCCCGTCTTATCATTGACAGTGATGTTGGGATTAAAAGGGTATTGATATTTCTCCATCTCAAATCTCCCTAGCACTGTAACCTTTATAAACGCCATTTCCCCTGCCACAAAAGTGTCTTTGTCATTCAACCAAGCGAAAGCAAAGTTGGGCATTCTGGGTACTTCTGCAAAACGAAAGCAAAAAGTTAGTTTCTTTAGCATTTCAAAACCCGAAGCCAATCTAGCAAGGTTGAATTTATGAATCAAAGATACCTGGAGTTGAGAGTGTAGATATGAAAATAGACGCCGTCAAGATTAGGAGGTGGAGAAATGTAGGTTGGGAAGCCATGTCTGGAAGTTCTTGGTTGAAATTAAGGAAAAGCCGCCAGATTAACTTTAAGAGAGGCGTTGCAGTAAAGCGTGAAACCAAACGGTTATAACCGTTGGTGTCTGATATAATCTGCAAAAAAGGTTGATGAAACTTCTATTATGTTTTCAAATTTCACTCTTAGGAATATATATTATATACCCCGTAGTTCTGCACATTTCTCTCTCCTCTGCACAAATCTCAACCACACAATTTTTACTATTCTTATTTCTCACCTACTTTGCTCTTGGCAAAGTCCAACGGGACGGAAGTAGTATATACTACTCACTCCCACCCAAAAAATATGCTCACTTTCCTTTTCCGCCGTTCCAAAAAGGCAAAAGGGACAAATAAGCTCTCTAACTAACAAAAAAAGTGCAAATCATTCATACCAATTTTTTTGATTCAATTTTTTTAGCATCTTCTTCATTAAGTCTAGTTTACCCATAACAAATTTCAGATAAAAATTCAATTGGGAAGGCAGTCAAATGAATTTTTGAAGATAACTGCGCAGTTAAACAATGCAGTTAATAAACAGCGCAGTATATTTCAGAAAATCATTTGACTGCCTTCCAGGTTTTATTTTTAGTTGAAATTTGGTATGAGTATATACTAGACTTAATGAAGAAGATACTCAAAAAATTTCATCAAAAAATTCCACCGGGAACCGCCCCAAATGACGACGATTAGACAGAATCTCCTATATAAGGGGTGATTTGCACTTTTTTGATTAGTTCGAGGGCTTATTTGCTCCTTTTCCCTTCCAAAAAATACTTTCCATTTTCTCTTTTTGGATAATTTGTGTGGCTCACATTTATGTTATTGTTTTTTACACAACTGCAACCATACATTTTTACATTATTCCACTTTCTTAATAAGCGTGCCAATTCAAACTGGGAAGTATTTTTTGGGATGAATAATACTCCGTACGAGTATTATTTTGGGATGAAGACATACTTCCATATTTGAATATGTCCAGTGTTTTACTTTTATTTTAAGCAACTTTTAATTTATTTATTATTCCCTCTGGATTTTCTATTTTTTTTAATAATGTTCACCGAAAACATGGAAAAGAATCAAAATTTCAGAAATACGTGGCCGGCCGGAATGCTTTCATTGTTGTTTGTTTAATTTGTTCCCAATGATAGACGTAGAGAGTATCACTTCGTACAATTCATTACAATGAAAGCGTACAATAATCACTTAGTAATTATTGGAGGTATGTGCCTATAGTGGCACATAAAATCTATTTTGTGTGAGCTAAAACATAAAATTTCACTATAACTTTTTTAAATATTACTACCTTGTGATATGACAATATCATTGTGACACTAATAAGGATAAAATCTCATTCCAGTTCAAGGATATCTTTAGAATATCCTGGTCTGGACATAGAATATCCTATGATACGCTAGGAAGCTTTGCAAATAAAGCAATCTTTAAATGCTTATACATATGTATTCAATTACAAATTTTTTCTTGGAAGTCCGGGCTCCTTCGAGCCTCCCGCCCTCCCCTGTCTCCACCTGCATGCATGGGACTATGGGAGGTAGCTAATTAAATTGAATTGGATTTTTGGATGCACCTTAATCCACTGGCAAGTTGAGATCGAGTAGTGGAAACTGCCATCTTATCTTTGCAGTTAATATTTGGTTGGCGGTTGGCCACTTGATTATTTGAAAACAAATTCTGTGACACTGATTTTGCCGCATCTGGTATGCATGCGCAAATTATTCTCACACTTTAAATGGTGTGGTTTTATGTTCATCTTTTCTTTCCTTTTCTTATAATATTTTCATCTCTTTCTATATTTTGCCATTCTTTCCTCTTTTTCTCGCTCTCTATCAAAATACTAAAAAATTAAATTAAATGTAATTGTATTTTTCTTCATCTTCAACTTAAATCACAATTGAATCTACTTTTTTTATTCTTTATCTAATCTAAAAAAATAAGTATCGTTGCATTTAATATTCATATGACATTTCTTTTCTATAATACTTCTTTTTATATTCATAAACTGTATCTATAATATATTTTTTCATATTAATACACCTTTTTATGTAATGCCAAACAACTTGTAGTTCGATAACATCACTTTGACACCCTGAATGAGAAGGTCACAAGGTCACAAGGTCACAAGTTAATTAACTCAATTTAAGAATGTTGGCATTTAACAAATAAAAGCAAATACTATGATAGAAATGCGACCACATAAAAACACTTTTTATGTAATATGTATTGATATCTTAGTGGGGTTTTAAGGCATTTTTATGTATTTTATTGACACTTTATCTGTGCAAATCGTAAAGTAAATGACACCAGTGTTCTGTGCAGACAAGAAGAAGTTTTCTAGCAGGAGTTTTGAATCCGATAGTCGTATCTGTGCAGGATTGACCAGGTAGGAAGTGAAATCATTATTTGGGGGTTATTTGATTTTTATAGTGCTATTGTGTGCCTTTTATAATCTGGACCAATTTTGAGTATTTTTTTATGAATTCTGGAATTTGAAAGCATTATTAGTATGCTTGTCTGAAGAGTGTATATCTGATTAATACCACTGAAAATTAATTCAAAACTACTGCATAATTCACTAAATATTTCGCAGATTTAGATAACAGGAGGTTGATCTACTGATCTACTCATTAGATAACAACTTAGCATTCTGTAAGTTGTTGGAATATTGTGTGTGTTTCTGGAATATGTTGTATCTATTTCGTAGCTTCTTGAATTACTGTTTTCTGAACACTACTCTACTTAAAAGAACATCTTGAAAATGCTAGAAGTCTGCGGCTCAACTAGGCAGGACACCTGCAACATACTCCGAATACTAAGATTACAAATATAGTGGAGTAATACTAATGCACTAGTGGAGTAATACTATGTCATTAAATTAGTTATTTAATGACATAGTGGACATTAAATAACTAAAGTAATATTAATGACATGAAGCAAGTGGATTTTTAAAGTGGAATTTGCAGAATCATTATGGGTAGTGTACTTTTACACATTAAATTCATGTGAGAGAGGTTTAGATGAATTAAAAACGTAATTATCCTTTTCATGCTATATCTAGAATGCATAAAATGTTTTGAAAAGTAATGTACCTTATCCTAGACTAAAATGCTACGGACACATGGAGCAAGTTGATTTTTAAAGTGGAATTTGCAGAATTATTATAGGTAGTGTATTTTTACATAAATGCATAAAGTATGGACACAGGTGTGCTTTCTTTGGACATGAGAGGAGTAGTAATTTAGTAATACTACCACATAGGATATTTTCCAATCTGTCATGTTTATGTATAACAAACTTGTAATGTTTATTCTAACAAAAGCTCTTTATTTTGTGGTGTGGTGTGATGCATATGAAGTATAGCAGTACCTATAAATGGATTCACAAGACAATGTTAATAATGTTAACATTTCATTTGCTGGTGCCAAAGAACCTGCCAATTATGTGATGCCACCCCATAATTTGAACCAATTCAGTCCATTGAACATCCCCATGCAACCTATATATCACTTTGATCCAAGTAATGGATCATATGCTGTTCATATGGATCAAAACAACATGCCCAGATTCTCTTTCCAAAATATGATGAATGCTCCTCTTAGTACTCGGAATGGCGAGTCATCGAATGCAGCAAAAAAGAGGGCAAAAGGCATTCAAGATACTGAGGCCTCTCAACTTGCAATACTTAAGCAGGACTGGACAACCGAAGAGGAGGTTGCATTGACAGAGGCCTGGTTGTATATATCTACAGATGCTGATGTGGGAACCAATCAAAGGAGTACAGCTATGTGGAATCGTATATTAGATGTCTGGAAGGAGAAAATGGGGCCGGGGCACTCAAAAAAAAGAAATAACAATGCCTTACAGTGTCATTGGCACCAGATCCGAGGTGCAGTTTCAAAGTTTGTGGCAAAATACGAGCAACTAGAAAGACATCCAAAAAGTGGTTCAAACTCAGAGGATTTGGTAAGCGTATTATCTTGTATTTTAATATTATAATACCTTATATATATTTAGTAGTCTTTTCTTTGTGTAGCTAAGGAAGGCATTGGAGTTGTACAAAGATTTTTATGGGACTCATTTCAAATTTCTTCATTGTTGGACACTCTTGGCCAAGAACTCAAAATGGTGTTCAGAGAATCTTACTAAGACAGGGGCACAATCCAAAGGTAAATCTGATAAAACTAAAGCACCGTTGGTAGATGACTCTTCGACTCCTATCGGTGAAGATCAACCTCCACCCGATGCCATCAACTCTGAAAGTGTTGTGCGCCCACAAGGAAGGAAAGCATGTAAAGAAAAAAAGCGAAAGCTAGCAACGTCGTCGATGCATTGAATAAGCTGCAAAGTACTCTAGACAAACAAGTCACTTTCAATATCACAACCATGGAGTTGAGAAATGAGAAGGACGAAAAAGAATTTCAGTTGAAAGAGCAAGTGATGAAAAAAGAGATAGAACTGAAGGAGAATGATCAAAAGTTGAAGGAGAAAGCTCAGAAGTCCAGGGCCGAAGACCGTGCAATGAAGTTAACACAACAGAGGAGACAAGATCAGAAGTGCATTCTGAACCAAGATCTAAGCAAGTTATCGGAATCAGTTCGAACCTCTTATGAAATCATGCAAGCTGAGATTTTGAAAGAATGGAAAAGAGATAGTGTCTTCTAGCTAAACATATGTATTAAGTGCTTTTTAAGTTAGTTTATCACGTTGGTACTTTGTCATTCCCTTAGTAGGTGTATGCTTCTTTACTGTCCTCTTGAGTACATTTTAATTATTGATTTTTTCTATTCCATGTTTGGAATAGAAAGAGTTTAGTTTTAAAGGCCTTTTGAACCTTTGCATATTGCATTATCTATAAAAATTAGTTTTTAGAGAATATGTTGGTTTCATGCTAAACAAGCAGGCTCTTTATGAGGAACAAGTTATATTCATCGACCCGTTTTGTTTGATTTCCATTGAAATTTAGTAAAAATATATTTGGAAGTGATCCTCCTGGAGTGATTGGGACAAGTGAAATGAGTACAAGTAAGAAAGCACATGGTTGTGCTTATAATCCAATTGTCTTACCCATGTTATGAAAATAAGTAAAATTATAGTTGAGATATAAAGTTGGCACTACCCTCAGCGGAATAAGAAGAGTGCCACTGAGGGATGAATAGTAAAAGTCAATCAATAGAAATAAATAAAAATAGTAACATGATAATATACCTGTAATCTATAAGCTTGCCATCACATTGGCCTTTAGAGTCTAAGCCATATCTCATATCTAAATGATTTCTAAGCTTCTCCTGTTTGGTGAAATCAAGTCATTGGAGGACTATTTATATATCACACAACATAATCTGGCAAATTCAAATACAGTACAAGACAACTATCGATTAAGAGGTCATTAATTAGCACAAGCTATACCTTTTTTTAATCCTATCAAAGATATCTTAATTCAAGCCAATTGAGTTTATGTCAAGGAATTTGTGAGAATAAACTCAAAGACCAAGACAACAAATCCTCCCTGAGTACAATTCAGGGTTCCACTTACATTCTAATACAGATGGTAAAGACTCCCTTATATTAATGTTAAAATACAAAAAGCTCTTCTTCCCAAGATCTGCATAACAGCCCAATTGTATTCATAATGGTAAGCTCTTAACTCTTAAGCATGGAATCCCAATTGTATTATAAAGAGCATATGAATGAAAACATCTACCACGAAAGAATTGAAATATTAAAAAACATCCACTACAAAATTAATGATCAAGATATAAAAAAGACTAATACATCAATCAACTTCATTGCTGCCATATATTTGCCACAAATGATCGATGAGATCACGCTTCAAGCTCATATGAGTTGATTTGCTATGTATTTGTTTCATTCTACTATTCATCATTGAGATGAGAAAAGTGAAATCGTGTTCCAAAGTAACATTTTGGGGAACTTCTTCTTTATCTGGTTGCCAATTTTTAGGGTTGATTCCTTGACCACACTCATTCTCAATAATCATATTATGTAAAATGATGCATGTCTTCATTATTTTACCCAAATCTTTGGCACTCCACATACGTGCTGGTCCTTCAACTATGTGCCACCGACTTTGTAACACTCCAAATGCTCTTTCTACATCTTTTCGTACTGACTCTTGGCGTTTGGCGAATAACTTTTCCTTCACAGAACATGGTTGTGAAATTGTCTGAATTAAAGTGGCGTATTGTGGATAGATACCATCAGATAAGTAATATCCCATGTTATATTGATGACCATTTACTCTGAACTCACATGTTGGGGCAACATCATTAATGATATCATCAAACAAGGGAGATCTATCAAGAACGTTAACATCATTATTGGTACCGGCCATGCCAAATCCACAAATTATGTCCAGCTACAATCTCAAGAATAAGAGTTGAAACTTTTTTAAAACCGTTAGTATGTGTTCCATGCCAAACAGTCGGACAATTTTTCCAATGCCAATGCATGCAATCTAAACTACCAAGTATACCCGGAAATCCACGAGATTCTCCATCCGCTAATAAAGTGCTAATGTCTGATTCATTTGGTTTCCTTAAATAGCATTCATCAAATAATCCTATTATAGCATCACAAAATTTCTTTAAACATTCAATTACAGTGCTCTCTCCAATCTGCACGTATTCATCAAGAGAATCAGCTGAACATCCATATGCAAGCATGCGTATTGCTGCTACCACTTTTTGCAAAGGACTCAACCCCATGTTTCCAACCGCGTCCACTTTTTGAGTAAAGTAATCACCATAACTCTCGACTGCTTGCATAATTCGTTTGAATAAATCAATATCCATTCGAAACCGACGACGAAATGTGTCTGGTGTATACTTTGACTGCTCGCCTATGAAATAATCACTAAATATTATATCATGACGCTTTTTTCTATCACGTCGTGTATAAATTCTACCAAATCTTGAACCACCGTGTGGGAGCTTTCTTTCCACTGATAATGTTGAAATTATCATAGGAACATGAAATGCACAAGCTTCAACTAAATTGGAATCTATATCCTCAAAAAAAGAATCTTCTCTCAACGGTTTGTCAATTAACTTTTTGATAAGCGAAAGAGATTTCGTACTTGATGCTCCACTATCCGTGTCTGATTCGTAGTCGAGTGATGACATTTATTGCAATATGCACCTGTATAAAAAGCATATGTAACAATTCATACGTTGTTAAAAAATTATAATTACATTATTTATAATAACAACTATACCTGAAAGTAAAAATAAAAAACCACATAAAAGAGATCATAAACCAAGCTATTTCTTGCCCATTTACCTCACCAAACTAGTTCCACATTTTGTTACAATACATAAATGTGTTTAGAATTAACAAAAACAAAAGGAATAAAACTTAATTACATTTATCCATTTTACTATATTCAGATGACATACAGTAAGAAAAAAATGTCAAATGACAACACACCAAATTTGTACAGCCACTAAATTTCACTCATGAAGTGATAAGTGTTGCGCACGTGCGTTTGCAATCCAGAAGCTTCCTACATCCTTATCTTTTCATAGAGTCCAGTTGTCCATAATATTGTATTTAATAGATTTTGTTGTAGATCCGTTTTTTCAGCCGCGTCTTGTATTCACAAGTTGTATATATGTACTCTTTCGGTAATCAATGAAAGACAACTTCCGCATACACAATTTGTTTTTCTATTTGGTATCAGAGCGGTGAACACTTTCTGCTCGGATCACAATGAACCCCAACAATGATAGTTCTTCGACGACCTCTGCTGAACCATTTCGACGGAAGATCACAGATCCTTCCTCACCGTATTACTTGTCGCCCTCGGATTTTCCGGGAGTGAATATTTGTGGTTTTCTTCTCAAAGGAGAAAACAATTTTCGTGAATGGGCTACGGCCATGACCAATGCTTTCCGTGCCAAGCGGAAAATTGGTTTTGTGGACGGAAGCATCAAAATGCCGACCGACCGAATAGAAGACATCGAGGATTGGGTCACCGTCAACTCAATGCTCGTGGGATGGATTATGACGGCAATTGATCCAAATTTGCGTACAAATGTTACGTACATGGATAATGCTTCTGATTTATGGAACGATCTTAAAGCTCGATTTGCAGTCCGGGATCCCATGAGGATTCACGAGCTTAAGGAATCACTCCGAAGTTGCCGGCAGAATGGCGAGTCAATCGCTCAGTATTATGGGCGGCTTAAGTTTATATGGGATGAATACGACGGATATCGTGTCGTTCCAAAGTGTTCTTGTAAACGATGTGTATGTGATTTACAAAAGGAATTTTGGAAACAAGTTGAGTTGGAGAAAATCCATGACTTTCTTCTTGGACTTGACCATGAAAAATTTGGGACGTTACGTTCCAACATCCTTAGCCAGGAAGCCCAGGATGACCTGCCGACACTCACCAAGCTTTATCAAATCATGACTCAAGAGGAACGACATCAAACCATGATACATGGACGTGAGGGACCCACTGAAGCAGCTGCCTTTGCCGTCAAGGGTCATGCTGGCGGAACGATAGAAGAACAACATGTCACCTGTTCTTTTTGCAAGAAATCTGGCCATACTTATGAAAGCTGCTTCAAGAGGACTGGAAAATACCCTGATTGGTGGTATGACAACCCCGGTAAAGGACGTGGTGCACGAGGGCGTGGAACAGGAAGAGGCTGTGGCAAAGCAATCGCAAATGCGGCACAAGCCAGCGAGCGTGTGGAGAGTGAGGGAATCATTGGTGCATCCCAGGAGAATGTTTCTGCTTCACACATTACTCCAACATTTACTGAAGAACAATGGAAAGGCTTTCTCCAGTTGATGGAACAATGTAAGCTTACCTCTCCGGGTGAAAAACTATCAGGTATATCCAATCAACTTCGTTGGTTACTTGACTCGGGAGCATCATACCACATGACCGGAAGTAAGGAGTGTTTTCTTATGAAGAAAACCGTGTGTCCGATTCCAGTAACTTTACCTAATGGTGATGTGACGCATGCGACATGTGTGGGAAAAGTACAACTTAGTCCCAAAATTATTTTGAAAAATGTGCTTTTTGTTCCAGGGCTTACGTGTAATTTGATATCATTGGCATGTTTAATTGATGACGTGAAATGCGATTTATATTTTATTAATCAGATATGTGTGATACAGGACCCGCCTACGAGGATGCCGATTGGAGTGGGTAGAAGACATGGGGGGGTCTACTATTTTCACAGTATAGACGAGATCATGGCTAATGCAGTGGGAATAGTGGATTCCAGGAACTTATGGCATGCACGTTTGGGTCATCCATCAGCTACGGTAGAGAATATAATTTGTGATTCAAATAAAGTTGTTTCTGGTATTCCTTTGCGTAATAAAGTTTGTGATGCATGTTTACGTGCCAAACAAACAAGAAACGTGTTTGAAATAAGTAGTGCAAGAGCTATAGCTAGTTTTGAGTTGATACATTGTGATGTGTGGGGCCCATATCGTTTTTCAGCCTCTTGTGGTGCACATTATTTTCTTACGATTGTTGATGATTATTCTAGAGCTGTTTGGGTACATTTATTGCGAAATAAAAGTGAGGTGGCTTTAGTAATTAAACGTTTTCTTTCCATGGTCAAGAGACAGTTTAATAAAGAAGTGCGTATAGTGAGAAGTGATAATGGCACAGAATTTTGTGTACTGAAAAATTATTTTTTAGAGCAAGGAATAATTTTTCAAACTAGTTGTGTATACACGCCGCAACAAAATGGACGCGTAGAAAGGAAACACCGACAAATTCTTGAAATTGCCCGGGCACTTCGATTTCATGCTAATTTGCCAATACAGTTTTGGGGGGAGTGTATTTTGGCTGCTGGTTATTTAATTAACCGTTTACCGTCTCGCGTCATTAATAATAAAACACCCTATGAACTTTTGTATGGTCGGGCCCCGGGTTATAAGGAACTACGCGTATTTGGTTGTCTCTGTTATGCTTATCTAAAGGAACGCTCTGGAGATAAGTTTGCCCCGCGTGGTCATCGGTGTGTTTTTCTTGGGTATGCCTACTCACAAAAGGGATGGAAGGTATATGATTTGGAACAACATAGGCACTTTGTATGTCGAGACGTACGTTTTTTTGAAGATATTATGCCTTATTCTTCTAGGCTCCATGATCATCCAGTAGATGTGTGTGTTAATTCTCCCATGCAGCACGTGGATTATGGTGAGCTGACTCAGCCCATAACACCCAATACTCAGCTTGATTCTTTGGATGCTACGCATGGCACAAGTTCATTCCCAGGAGGTGGGGACCGTGAGGAACAGTCTACGACATCATCCGGTTTGCATGGAGGGGACCATGCTGACACCCAGTCTTCACTCGTTATCTCACCCGGTACTCAGCCTGATGATAGGGCACCTCCAGCTCGTCGTAGTCAGCGCGAACGCAAAACACCTGGATGGCACTCAGATTATGAAGTGAATGTCAATTCTGTGCAATTAGCAAACCCCCCCGTCACTTCTTCTGCTTCACCGGCTACCTCAGGTACTCCATATCCGTTATCTGATTATATAAATTATGATCGTTTTTCCGTGCAGCACCGAGGTTTTCTTGCAGCCATCAGTCTTACTCGGGAACCTCTAAATTATCGAGAGGCAGTCCAAGATCCTAAATGGCGCGAGGCAATGCACAAGGAGATCACTGCGCTTGAGAATAATGGAACATGGGTAGTGCAACCGTTACCGCCCGGAAAGAAACCCATTTTTTGTAAATGGGTATACAAAATTAAATATAAATGTGATGGGTCTATTGAGCGCTATAAAGCGCGTCTTGTTGTTTGTGGTAATCGGCAGGTACATGGGGTGGACTATGACGAAACTTTTGCTCCGGTAGCCAAAATGGTGACGGTTCGCACTATTCTGGCCGTTGCTGCTGTTCGTGATTGGGAAATCCATCAGATGGATGTGGATAACGCTTTCTTGCATGGAGATTTGCGTGAAGAGGTTTATATGCATTTCCCGCCTGGTTATTCCTCTTCTCGTCCGGGTCATGTATGTAAGTTGCTCAAGTCTCTTTATGGGCTTAGGCAGGCACCACGTTGTTGGTTTTCAAAGCTTACTAGTGCTCTTAAATCATTTGGGTTCTGCCAATCATTCGCGGACTACTCCCTCTTTACTTACCGCCGCGGAGCTCAAATTTTATGCATTTTAATTTATGTGGATGACTTATTGATCACAGGGAATGATCCCTCTTTAATTGTTGATTTTAAGTCTTTCCTTGGACAACATTTTCCTGTCAAGGATTTGGGTTATATTAAATATTTTCTTGGTATTGAGGTGGCCCGGAATAGCACTAGTATTTTCTTATGTCAGCGTAAGTACGTTTTGGATATTCTCACTGAGACAGGTTTACTGGGAGCCAAGCCCGCTTCCTTTCCCATGGTTCAAAATCATGGTCTGCAGACTGCTGATGGGCCTCTTTATTCGAACGCAGAACAATATCGGCGTCTCGTCGGAAAGCTTATTTATCTTACTTTGACTCGGCCTGATATCTCCTATGCTGTACATATCCTCTCCCAATTTATGCAACAACCCCGTGTTGTACATTGGGAGGCTATACTCCGAGTCTTACGCTATCTCAAAGGGAGTCCTGGACAGGGAATTTTTCTTAGTCGAAATTCCTCTCTTTCTTTGACTGGGTTTTGTGATGCAGATTGGGCTAGTTGTCCCATTACACGTCGGTCTGTCACCGGATATTTTATTCTTCTTGGAGATTCTCCTATCTCATGGCGTACTAAGAAACAGGCCACTGTATCTCGCTCTTCTGCCGAGGCCGAATACCGATCTATGGCTTTCCTAGCCTGTGAGCTCGTATGGCTTAAGAGCTTACTTTCTTCACTCGCTGTTCCCCACACCCACTCAATGACTGTATTTTGTGATAATCAGGCGGCACTCCACATTGCCTCTAATCCGGTGTTCCACGAACGCACAAAACATATTGAAATCGACTGCCATTACATCCGTGATCACATTCAGGCCGGTACTATTCATACTTCTCATCGAGCTTCTTCAGAACAGTTAGCAGACATTTTTACTAAAGCTCTCGGCCAGCAACAATTTACGTATTTATTGTCCAAGATGGGTGTTCGGAACCCTCACACTCCATCTTGAGGGGGGGTGTTGCGCACGTGCGTTTGCAATCCAGAAGCTTCCTACATCCTTATCTTTTCATAGAGTCCAGTTGTCCATAATATTGTATTTAATAGATTTTGTTGTAGATCCGTTTTTTCAGCCGCGTCTTGTATTCACAAGTTGTATATATGTACTCTTTCGGTAATCAATGAAAGACAACTTCCGCATACACAATTTGTTTTTCTATTATAAGCACCATCACACCACTAAAAAGTAATTAAAATGATTGCATAACCCATACCTTGGTGTGAAGTAAAAGTCGTGAAAAGCTTGGAGCTCCCAGTAGAAGAGAAAAGAATATGTTATCGCACAAGTGCAGAACAGAAAACTAACGTAGAAGAAATAACAAAACAATCGGTCCGGAATTTGTTACTGAAGGATATGAGAGATTTATTTGGAAATAATTACGGCAGAGTAGTTAGAGAAGCCTGCAATTTAAATTTCAGTTGGACAAAACATCGTGACCTCGACATGATGCGTTGGGGAGGCCTTTGAGAATTTCAGTTTTTGGGGTTTGACATTTATCCTATGTGGCTAGACGTTCCATACATCAATTGACATGTGTCATAAATTTTTTAATGTCAACAGCCAAGGATTGGAGATGCTCTTATTATGGTAATACATATGCGTGAACTACATTTGATAATAATGAGATTACATTTTCAAATTTGATGTGTAATATTGATTATATTCTCAAATTGTAAATATAGCCTTCAAATTTGATGTGTAATAATGAGATTATTACTTTACGGTGAAATTTATGATGTACTAGTATATTGAGTTATACTCCGTATATCATATCTATAATTGTATTGTATTCATCTAATTTAAACTGTGTAGTACCATTTATCTAAGAAGTTTCAATTCCTTGAGTCGTTTCTCTCCTCCATAAAAGAAACAGATTTAGAATACTTTATACCCCACCCCACCTTGTAGAGTTCTTGCAGGTCTTTATTATTCTTCATATATAAGAGCAATAACTTCTGATATGGAGCATAGCTGGCATATCTACAGTGCAGTCATATATCTGTTCTTCAATGCTGAGATCTTTTACAATAATCTATTGCTTCCTGGATTGAATCTTCTCTATCCCAGGAATATCTGCCACTGCTGCTTCTCCTGAAGAGCGGCTTCTCTGGGTATCCGTTTGAATCATCTGAGGTTATCGAAAACCTTTGAGAAGAAACTTTTGTTGGCGACAATAACCTTTTAGAAGCACCTGAAAAAGACCTTCTTCTGCGACCACTTTCTTCATATCCTGAACCATTATCTCCTTTCTCTAAACTCTTCCCGGTTAGAGCAGATGAACTTTTGCTAAACAGTGACTTAAAATAAGCACGGGAAGCTTTCACCTTTGAACTAAATGACCCCCCTTTTGAAGCCTCCTCGTTGATGCCTTCTTCTGCCAAGCACTCACAGAAGAAGTATTTGTAAGTAATAATGATGAAAACAGTGGATAAAAATGCGACTTTTATATGTTAGTTTTACACCTGGTGATCGCGGTGATATATTTATAGTAACTTTAGTCACATTTTGTCTGTAAATTCTGTTGGAGTGTGTTTAAGGAAAAACCTGTGTCAGGACGAATTGGTTCCGTGCTAACATGGCAAGAATTGAAAGGAGAAAAGGTGTTCGTGTTTTCGAGAAGTTTGCGGAGCATTTGTAGACGGGGTGGGAGGTGAAGGGGGAGGAGTTTTCCTTTGCAGAAGAGCTCATCTGCAGGAGAAGTTGATGGGGTGTACCTTTCAGAAGAGGTTATGGAGAGCATCTGGAACTCAAAGTCTATGGCGGGGTGAGAGGAAGAGCTGAAAATGGCGGAATCTGAGGGTAGTACTTCCATGTCTATGCAGTCTTCTTCCTCTACATGATCACTACGTGTGTAGGGAATTGCTTCTTCCATCTCTCAGAGTTCAAATAATTAACAAAGATTGAGGTTTCTCTGCAATTGGTGGTATGCAAAACTGTGCATATGGCTAAAGGAGGTGCTGAGTCAGCAGAAGACAATTAATACTAATGAGAATGGTTGTTTGTTTTTCATCAATCGCCTTAATCCTAGCTAATTCCCAGGGGTGGGTGGCATTAAAGTTACACAGTGCCAATAATGAATTGACTAAATAATCACATTTTTTTCATTCAAAATTATATGATCATTTTAATTGTTTTATTACATATATAAGAATTTGGCTTAATTATTTCTATGTATTTATTGATTTATTTGTTCACTCATATGTGAAAGAGTCTCTGAAATTGATTCTGCTCTGCTTCTTTTTCAAAAACATTAGCAGAATCAGAATCAATTTTTCAGAAACTGGTCTCCTTCAGACTTCAGCTCCTAAAAAGTGTCTCTAAGATCAATTTGGAGCATCTAAAAGTACTTTTGCACTTTCACTCAAACACCTCACTATATGTTTCTTCTCTCTGAAGGAGCAGAAACAATTTTAATAAATAAAATCCAAACACCTCCTAATTGTGATATTTTATGCGTAACAAATACTACCTCTGTCTTGAAGAATTGTCATATTGACATTTTTTGTCAATGATGGCAAACTTAATACAATGATTTTAATAATTATATTTGTATATAATTTATAAATTTTATACTTTAATGAAAATATTTTGAATAAAGGCATATGTAATATAATTTTCACATTCAAAACAATTTTATTTTGAAAAATATATTGATCAAAGTTGATTACTATTCACAACAAAATTAATTTTACGAACCTTTTCACAATAACTGAGGGAGTAAAAACTAATTGAATGTGAATCAATTCTATGTCAAGCTCTAAAATATCTTTGAAATAATTATGGACTACCCGCCTACCCCATGTGGCATCATCATCTCCTTAAAGTTTACATATTTGATCTGTCATTAAACTCGAGGTAACCACACTCCACAGGAATTGTAATAAATGAACTTAGGGCACAGGTGCTCATATAAGTTGGTTTTAATTCTTGTCTGGGAAAGGGTCAATCCACGTTTGAATTGTAGATAAACACTTTAAAAACATTAAAATCGTGTTTGCACCTAAACAGTCCTTGAGAGTTCATATGAATTGGAGCAGATCGAAAGGAGAGCATGTAAGATTGTAAGGTACACTTTTCAATACATAGCAATATTCCTACTTTTCATTTCTATTTTAGAAAATAATTAAGACTATTAAATAACAAATAAATCATTAAATATTAAAAAAATACAGAGTACATCTATAATATCTGTCATCATCAGCAATCTCATTATGTTATATACTCATCAAATAAATTTATTAAAATATACTCTAATTACTTTATTTATTTATTATCTAAGTAACCGTGTAATTTTTTCAATGAGAAGTTTAAACCAGGACCAGTGACGGGCCTACTATTTTTATTTTGGGTGTTCAAAATTATCCATTTTTTCATTGAAATACTAGTAAATAAATTATTACTCTAATTCATGCATATATATATATATATATATATATATATATATATATATATATATATATATATATATATATATATATAGGTAAGATATCAAATACAAACCATGCTTAAAATACTAACCTACAAACTCAATAATATGCAACACTTTGAACTTCAATATGCAGTACAAATAATGTAAAGATGCACACTGTGAATTTCAATATGCATTACAAATAATATGCAACACTTTGAACTTTAATATGCAGCACAAATAATATGCAACACTTTGAATTTCAATATGCAGTACAAATAATGTAAAGATGCACAGTTTGTGATAGTTTGTAGGTTAGCATGGGAAGACTAGTTTGTATGTGATCTCACCCCTATATATATATATATATATATATATATATATATATATATATATATATATATATATATATATATATATATATATATATATATTTCCATTAAAAAAAAATAAAAAAAATAAAAAAAAAAATATATATATTTCCATTGTTTTTATATTTTGGGTGTTCACATGAACACCCTTACATAGCAGAGAGCCAGAGATCCACCAATGGCCAAGACGGAGGTAATATATCTCAGCAGCTATTGGGTACCCGGTACCCCAAGCATTCTAGAACCAGGTAGTTATAAGACTTGACCGGGACCGGGAGGCTGAATTGGGTCAAAAATATTATTACAAAAAGTATAAAATTATTTAATTTTACATAAATATATAAGTTAAAATAAATGATCAAAGTTTACCATCTTTGATTGGAAAAGTCATAGAGGGCTAAATAAAAAAGAATGGAGGTGATATATATGGCATTATGGCAAAATACATTATATGTATTTTAGAAACGCCAAGATCGAGTGTCTTCCAAAAGTCAAGGACAACTTTTTCTAGGATCTTATTACTTGCTTTATGGTAGTGTGTTTGTGACTTAAAATAAACTTTTAATGGTATGGGGAGATCCAAGGTCACATTGATCAATTTTTCAAAATAAACATACTTATATGATACGGAGTACTTTTTTAGGGTTTAAGTCATAAATTGAAAATAGTAGAATCTTCTATTCGATCCTGTTTCTGAATGATTTAGTGAAAATGTGAAACGGAAGAATCTTCTATTTGATCCTGTTTTCGAATGCTTTAGTGAGAATGTGAAATAAAAGCCGACACTTGCCTATCTTTATACGTGATACTGTATAAAAATAGGCAAGTTTCGGCTTCTATTTTAACCAACATTTTAACCAGCACCTAAGTATATGTTGTAGTATACCAAAACCTCTTCGAGTTGTTTGGACCTCCTTTTAGGAAGTAGCATAAATAAACTTGGCCGTTTCCCTATCAACAACATATGACGATACCAATCTCCTCACCAAATCTTGGACTCGTGTAGACGTGTATGCTGCATCCAGATAGAAGTGACATTACATATAGAAAATTGAATCCCTCCACAAACATTTGCAATATAAGGAAACAACAGTTACCAATTTATCAACATAGCTGAACATGAAATTTGGTAATTAAACATTTCTATATCTAAGAGAAATTACTGTAAATTTGAGTATTTACATTCGAATTTAAGAAGCGTTAATGCATTTTAGAATACAAAGAAGCAATTCCCAGGCCAACTGTTTTCAATAACCGTGGGCCTAAGAATGTCATTTATCCCAACAAGCATTGTAATAACTGCCAATTGTTCGTTTGAGTTTGTATAAAAAAGTCGTTTGAATTGTGAGACTTCTATTTGTGGGATGCAGATTCCTCATTTCTTAACTCTCTTTCTAGTTCTTCAAATTCCCAGTCACCAACCTCTTCTGCCAATTGTTCATTTGAGTGGCTCTCCCTATTGACCTGACCCAATTCAGCCTCCAATTCAGCCAATTCCACATTATGATCTCGAATCTCCTCAGACTTGGGAGCTGATGGTTCTTTCTTCTGATCTTCAATTGCTGGTCCTTCACTTTGCTCTTTTTCAGCAATTTCAGTCCCAGGATTTGTCGCGCTTTCTTTTGGCCTTTCGCCAGATGGTCCTGGTGTCTCCATTTCAAGATTTGGTCTCTCAATTGAATCAAATTCCGCTCTCAACTTTTCAATTTTTTCAAGAAGTTCCTTCACCACTGAATCATCTTTCCTGGACGTGAAGGAGACAGTCAAGAAATAGTTTAATTCATCAAAGCTATGTTTGGAACTCGGAAATCAGTAGTGGGGGTTAAGCAAAATGTTTTCATTTAGTATTTAGCTGTACTAGGAAAACGCGAAGGAAAATTAAATTAAATGTGATTAGAGATGTATAATGAAAAGAGTTTTTAACAAATAAATAACATTGATTTATTGAGCTAGAAATGACTTCTTATCCCCCAACTTTCTTTCCTTGCAAGTTGCCTTTCTATTTTCCTTCCTATTTTCTTTCTCTAGCATTTTTTGAGTTCCAAACAGACCCCAAGAGTGAATATTTGGGGAAAGTGACATCAGCAGAAGCGCGGTCCGTGAACAAGAGACCTGGAGATTTTTTCTTGGTGGGAATAGTACTGCTCCTTCATGTTATCCACCACACTGAAGGTGGTTATAATCTGCAATTAAAACAGACATTCAACAAGGGGATGAGGGTGTAGTACAACTGCTACACCTAAACTAGATAGGGGGTCAGTTAGGGGAATTACCAGGGACCTCCCAAAAAAAAGACTAGGGTTTCAGTGTTCCACCATAGTACAACTTCGAATTTAGTAAGGTAAAATGGTACAACTATCAGGAATCATCAGTTCAACTGTTCAAGCTATATTTTAAATTCATTTCTGGTCTGACTACAGCTTATGTAACATATTTAACTCGTTTGTGAAACTTTTTTTTAAGGAAATTACATTAAATATAATGAAATTAGCCTTTTTCCAATATGGATTTTTTGTTTTGTTTTTAACAAACAAATGTTTTCAAATACTCCATATGACTCTTAGCGGCAGAGATAAATTACCAAATCAGGGACATGTGAGGCAACTTTCCTATTCGCCTCAGATTCTAAAACAACATATGAATAACAATTGCAACAAATAATAAGCAAAATTACCTTGGCTTCATATTCAAGGTATTCCTCCTCAAGATTATTTCTCGGGTTAATTGTGTTAGAATCATCATGCTCCACATCAGATGCAACCACTGAGCTATGTGTATTACTTCAAGATTTCATATAAGTATGATGAATTGAATGGGATATGTATAGATGAGCACATACTGATAAAAAATAAAGACATCGTTACCCTTTGTCAAAACTCCTCAAATTCTCCACATACTTCGCAATCCGATCAATATCTGGCTTTAATTCTCTCTGCGCAAGAAGCATGACACATCATTCACACTTCACTTTTGCAAAATCTGAAGATGTGGTATCAGTATATATCACTTATCAAAGTACCTCATAAGCAGAAAGGAGTTCAATGACCAACTTCAAAAAATAGTCTTCATGCCGTTCCAGTTCATCACTAAAAAAAGCAAAGTAACAATTAGTAATAAAGCAAGAAGAAGATATTTTAATCAGTAGTTCAAAAGACACATTAGCATTAACATTAAGCCCCCCTCCCCCCGCTTTAAAAGACATTGTTTTGGGAAAGGTACGACTTTTGTATTTGGCATGAGTACAACTGTTAAGAGTCATGAAATCCTAATACTATTAATGGTTAAATACTATTAAGGGTTATTTACCTAAATAGGACTAAAACATGGCTAAAAATCACAAATAGGACTACCATGTTTGAAATTCCCTAAATAGGACTAATCATGTGTGTTTGGAGTTTGGACTAATATACCCCTGTACCTTTTAGGATTAAAATAAATATTTAATAAAATTCATAAAAATAAAAAATTAGGAAAAAAATTATAAAGTAAAAAAAAAATACAGGCCTTTGCCTCCGCCTCTGCCACCCCTAGCACCACCAGCTCCAATCACCAGAAAAAATGCCAACAAGCAATAGTAATGCCATATTGATGTCAGTTTGAAAATTTTGGCATTATCAAGATTCAAGAGTAATAATGCCATTTTCTTAACATTTTCAGAAAATGGCATTTTGTTTACACAAAATAGCATTTTTTTCACCGATCGGAGGTGGTGGTGCTGGGAGGCGATGAGAAAGGCATCCATATATACATTTTTAATTTTTATGTGTTTTTACTATTTTTTTCTTCAATTGTTTTTATAAAAATTTATTTTATAAATATTTTATTATTTTCTTACGACTTTAATATATTTTTACGATTTTATTATGAATTAAAACATTTTATTATGAATTAAAAAATTATGAAAATTAATACCCTTTGGTGTATTTAGGGTAGAAAATTAATGTTTAGTCCTATTTGTGAATGATTTAGGCTTTATTCCTATTTGTGCATTCAAGTTTTCATTTATTTCTATTTAGGGCAATTACTATACTACTAAAACTTGTTTGCTTGTACTAAATTTATTGTATCTAACTTCTTTTATAACCATTTTTGGAAAATTACATGAAATATTAGTTTCTTCTGATGAAATGAGACTCTTTTTTTTTGGGGGGGGGGGGATAACTTTTGGAGTGACACACTTCTTTTAGTCAGAACAACTATTTAGGGTCTGTTTGCAATAGCTTCTGCTTTTAAAAAAGTGTTTTTTTTAATGAAATGGGGAGAAGTGATTAAATAAAAGTTGATAGTGTTTGAGAAAAAAAGTGATTTTGAAAAGTAAAAGTGGGTAGTGTTTGGTAAAATAAGTGTTTTTTGTGTAATAGAAAAAGTAAAAGCACTTTTGACGCGGAAGCCGATAAAAATAAAAGTTGTAGTGTTTGGGAAAATAAGTGCTTTTTTAAAGCCAAAAGCTGAGAAATGCTTTTTTAAAAGCAGTTGCAAACAGACCCTTAATGCAGTGAGTCAAAAGTATTATGGGGGTGTTTAGATCTGATTCTCAAAACTGATTCTGCTCCTTCAGGGAGTAGAAGCAGAAGCTGGAGTGTTTGGGTGAAATTCCAGAAGCACTTCTGGAGCTCTAATTTACTCTCAAAATCAGTTTTTTTAGAAGCTGGGGGGTACCAACTTCTGAAAACTGATTCTGCTTCTGCTTTTAAAAAAGAAGCGAATCAGTTCCAAACACCCCCTATATAGGCAACTAATTATGTACTTTTCCAACTTGTCTTTAATATCCATATAAGAGCATTGAAGAGCCCATGTATCTTCCAAAAAATTGATCCATGCGCTAAGAACATCTGCTTCCACTCTACATGAGCTAATGGTCTTTGAAAGCTCATCTTCCTGCAAAAGTTTGAGCACTCTCAAATTGCAATAATCAAATATAAAAATCCTCAGAAAATCAAGTGCAAAAAGAGGGCATGTTGCAAATGCCAGGAAGACCTTAGTTTTCAAATGTGCAACAATCTGGTCATTAGCATCATAAAACTGGTCTCTCTCTTCTCTAACGTTGTGAAGGCGCCCATTAGCTGCAGCCAAGGAGATATTCACCTGAAAATATTATCGAAATTGGGAAATGAGTCAAATGACATAATTTATGGATGTGCAAATGCAACAACAGCTCACCTGAACCAAACTAAACACAACTAGTATGTCCCACTCGAAAGTAGTCGTGAAATGGTGAGATATATGCAGAGCTTTCTACCTATAGCAGTAGAGAGGCTGTTTCTATGAAAAGCTCAGGGCTTAAGGAGGAAGGAAACATTTTGGAAGTTTTCGAGGATTTTACAAATTTGAAAAAACTTTTAAAAAGTTGAACCCTGGTTTTAGTGACAATTTGAGTAGAAAAAGAACAACAGCCAAAGATGCAAGGCAATGTGTAACCGTGGTTTCAACAATTTCTTCTGCAACTCTTGAACTCCAAAACACTGTATAACAGAGCTCAAGGCAATAGTGGATCAGTATTGCATTGAACATTTTTGTGTCGAAAGTTGAAAATGATGGGAGACTAGGAGTAGTGACATCACTGACAGAGTCAAAGACACAGGTTGGCATCAACGTGAAAATATAACAAAAGAAAAACGAAAGGGTGTCCTAAAAAAAGGACCTGTTTCAATTGAGCTTCAAGTTCATCTCTCTGTTTCTCTAGTGCTGAAATCTCAGCTGTTATTTCCTGAAGAATACATAAAGGACACTAAAGTTACCAGAACCTAAGACATTAGTGGCCCATCAAAATGCCAGTGTAAATGCACGCAATCATTTATGGATTGTACTCTAACAGGCAGGAAATTAAAAATAGCACAGCTGCACAAGATATGAACAAGAAATGCGGAAATAAATCCAAAGAAAGTCGGGGGGTGCTGAAGTGAATTGCAACACCAAAAAGTAATCTGCTACGATTTTTCCAACAATAAACATTATTTAGTCAGACAAATTGCTATGAAAATTGAGTTTTGAATTTGATAAATCCCCTGAATGATGCTGCATGTAGGGGATCGGGGGTGACCCTGAGGTTTGATTATTTTTGTATATGTACTAGTTATGAGCACATTGTTTACTTAACTGTATATATGCACCCCCACCTAACCCAAATCCCACACTTTTAACTCTCCTTACACAGTTTAAAGTGTAATAACATTAAGGTATTGCTTTATATGTTAAGTTTATATAACTACTTTAGTACTTCGGTATGCATATCAGGGCACAGGCATGTAGCATACCTAGGAGTTCAGTTACATAAGGCAATCAAATTTTTTGCTAAAAAGAATACCTTCTCCAGTTCACTGGCTTCAGAGGTCTTGGCACCACGAAATCTTAAAGTTTCCTCTTTCTGAACTCTGCCAAGAATATAAATGGAAATAAAAAACAGAAGGCTCAGTACAATGTGATTTTGAGTTCAACTGATGAGAGCAGGGGAGAGAAAAAGATGGAAAAAAGTTGAAAAAACAGCAAAACATGAAATTAGAAAGGTAAAAACTAGGACAAATTTATACTTTTGTTGGATAACTCATCACAAAATGACAAATGAGGGGGTTACACTTCATCAGTTAATCCCGTGATTATCACTGTTATATAATATAATATCATAGCTAGATATCGTGCACACACACAAAAGCGTTCGGACTGCGAGGAGCAGTGACTAGGCAAAACCCTATCTGCTCTTCTTCTCTTCTCTTCTCTCAAACCCGATGAAAGATATCTTGTGGTGGTCCTTCCTAGCATTGTCCATAGGTTGTTTATTCCTTGAAGGCGGAGCTGATCATGCAGTTGAGTTTTGCTGGTGATGGTTGGCAAGGCTTGTTCTACCACTTATATGTGATTTTGACATCAGGGGACTCACCCCCCCTGAACCGCCACCATGTTATAAGAGGAAGATGATGCTCAAAAGGGTCTCCTCTTCGGTAGGACACATGCCAAGTTGACATGTGTTATACTTCTCCCTTGTCAATGCCATTAACACTAGAGTGGTTTGTGGATCATTGCTGCTTACTCGAAGTTATTTTATTTTTTTCGTTTAAAATTTTCAAGTTGTACTATTTGGTTTTTTACTTTAGTTTGTTGCTGTTTAGCTTTGGGAGATGGTGTGAACTTTTTCTGAGTGTTTTAAAATTTCTAGTAAGGTTAGGAGCTTGGGGACTGTTAAGGTCAAACTAAGTTTTGGGAAGCTCGGTATATTGTTAGTGATTCGAGTTGCACCTACAGGGTTGGTTGATTCTATATCTAATTGTAGGCAGTAGGCCTATTGTGGGGACTGGTAAACTTTTACTGTAACACTGGTTGTTTCTTATTTTCTAGTATAAGCTTTTTCCTTTCAAAAAAACATGAAATGAGCATATGTAAGGATATTCTGTTATTAGTTATCATTTTATCAGGAAACCATAGGACACTATAATGTACAAACATGTTAACAAAAAATGATATTCAGTGACATTTATGTAAGCCACTATAAATAAAATAAATAAAATCAAAACATACTAATTTCTTAAACAAATATACGTGGAAAAAAGGATACCAGAATCCCTACCTCTATGGCAGGAACAGAGATGGTTCAACAAAGTTTCATTTTCAGATATCGCTAATGAAAAAAACAATGGAGTAACACATTATCAACACCCATGGTAGTCAAAATCGCGAGTCAACTCATAGGCTCGTACGAGTTTACGCTTCACAACCCAACCTGCGATCCCGTTCCTAGTGAAAATCGTAAAATATTTAGGAACGGTTGAATCGCCGAGTAAGCTCGTAAACGCGTAGGCTCGTATAGAGTCGCCGATTCTTTTGCGATGGTTGAAGAAAAATAGGGAAAAAATCAGGCCACGCGAATCGTCAACAGAAAGGGTTCGAAACATCTGGAATCAGTGGAAAACGTTCGAGAGTTTGAAAGAAGATGTCTGTCGCTTCAAATTCTTCTCTGCAACCAAATTCTTCCCGGCGACCTCCACTGTCAGGTCCGATTGGGTCAGTCAACGGCCTCCATGGCTCCGGCTCTGCGTCAAAGACTAAAAGGTCGACATCGATCTCCCGGTTCTGATTGGTCCACGACAAGTGCGAGAGTGTTCATTCTGGGGAAGACTCGAACGTTCGTTGACTTAATTCGTTTGTGAAGCGCAGGCGATTTAGTATATTACGTAGTACTCCTGGAGTCCTGGGTATATATTAATTTTAAATTTAATACTTTAATTCTTTACTAGTATTTTATCTTTCTTAGGAGTCCTGTAATTTGTCCCAGACCAGACCAGACCAGACCAGACCAGACCAGTTCAGACCAGACCAGACTTGGATAGTTATAAAAATACAAAGAAACCAGACCTTACCAGACCAGTTCAGACCAGACCAGACCAGACCAGATCAGACCAGACCAGCAAATTACAGTCCAAGTAAAAACATTCTTACTACTCCGTATATAATACTTCACAATATGCATCATTATAATTTTATTAGGAACAGATTACTTTAAATTATACTCCCTCCGTCCCAATTTACTTAGCCAAACTTGTTTTTTCAAGTCAATGATACCTAACTTTGACTGATTATATATCTATATAGAAAAAATATTAATAATATAAAAATTATATAAAAATGTTCTTTGTTGAAAATACTATTATAAAAGTATAAAATTATTAATTTTTTCATATATATATATATATATTAGTTAAAATAATTGGTCAAAGTGTACCACCTTTGACAGGAAAAGTCAAGATTGACTAACTAAATTGGGACGGAGGTAGTATCTGTTAGGTGTTATAAACTTATAATACGGAGTACAACTTAGTACTTATTGAGTAAAATGAAGTTAGATTATTTTATCAGGAGCGCATTACTTTAAATTATTATTATTATTGTATCTGTTAGGTCACTTAGGTGCTATAAACTTATAACACAGCTTACTGACTGTATTTATCAATTATATGTATTATTTTATCAATTATATGTATACATATGTTCATATATATACACTTTGGTCAATTATATTATTATTTTATCAATTATATTTATTTTCTAATTATATGTATACATAGTATATATATATTTATGTACACATATATATTTATATGTATATGTAAGTACATATTTTGTAGGATCTTACGATCCGAGTCACGATCCTACGATTTACGATCCTTATTCCAATTTCCGATCCTACGTAGGATCTCGAGTTTGACTACCTTGTCAACACCTAGTGACTCAGTGAGGTATCCCAAAGAAAACAGAGCAAGGAAGAATAAGTAAAGATAATAAGTGGCATAGTAGGACAACTAATTCATACAGAAACCCTAAAGAATCAAGCAAATGAAATAACATAAAGGATTATTCACACAATCACACCTCTTAGGCCAATGGGCCAATGGCATATATAGACCAATTACCTATGATCGGAGATCTTCTTTTCAGCTTTTGAGCTCGAACTGACTAGAGATTCACATAAGACTTTCAACTTGTCAACCTGAAAATAACAAAAAGTTGTTTCATCTGTAGTGTGGATTGCTTCAGCTATAGAGCAACTCATGTTCAACGAAACATGTGATAAGCTATGACATCGACATTTAACAGATTTTTTAAAAATTGAAAAGGAAAAAGATGCACCATACTAATAAACAAGGAGCATTTTGCCACTTGGCACTACTGCATCATTTAGATTACTAATGAAACAGTAGACATAAAGACAAAAGGGTTGTGCACCTTTTGAGCATGAATTTCAGGGGAGTCCCCGTATTTAAGAGTTTTCTTCTTCAGTAGAAGTTCTTCCAATTTTGAGCAGACTCGGATAAGTACAAGTGCTTCCTTCAGAGCCTGTTGGAATAAATGTCAAAAGTCTATAATAAAAAATACAATAAGCCATGCAGACTGCAGACTCATGGAAAATTGGAAATGCTTTGCCAATGTTTCATGCTTAATAGTTACTACACACACAAATATACTGTAATTGCTATTCGAACTATCCAATTTGAGTATTTGACAATAAGAAATGTGGCCCTGGTCTGTTACCACATTGAGTCAATCATCGAATAGCAGAACACAATAGGAAAAATAACAGGAACAAAGTGTTAAGAGCAAAAACTGGGTTCACCTCTATGGTGGGGGCAGATTCTTTGGAATTCTTTTCATGAACTTCACCAACATATCCTTTCTTTTCTCTTATATCAACCAGCCTCTTCTTGAGCATTGAGACCTCAGCATCAATTCTGCAGTAGTATGTAGCTTAAGGCCAAGAATTATAAGTTGGGAAAAAAGTGTGATTTACCATCTAAAACTCTAACCTGGATTTACATCCATGGAAAGAAGACAGGAAATCAAGTAATATCAGAGGTTTTAATACCTTCCAAGATCAGCATTAACTTTCAGCCCTGTGATTGCTCCTTCAGCAAATTGGAGAAGTTCCTCTCTCTTTGCCTGACAAGAAAAAGAAAGTTTAATACTTTAAATAGAAAGTCACAACAAGAATAAATGATCAGCTACACAGGCCATGAAGCTAAAACCTCAATCTTTTATTTCTTGTTGAGACAATAGACTGTTTTTTTAACTGAACAGATATGCTACTATAAAATCGCTACCAACACACTTGCACAGCACATCACTGCAAATTATCGCAAAAAATGTACTGCTAGCTATTTTGCTGCATGAAAGCAGTCAAAATTTAACAAGTTCTGGAGAATATAAGTAAAATTTCAAAAAGTTTCGTATTGATAGTTAACGTTCAGCCTTTACCAGAACTTCATCTTCATAGCCTGAAAATGCTTTTGAAAGATCCTGTATACTGCTGACTATTGCATTGTGAACTTCTCTTCCTCCAGTAAGACAAAGTCTGCACATAATGATGTTGTTTAGTGTTTTTCACCGCGTTAATACCACTTTTTGCTAAACCCTAGCGACACTTCCATGGTTAAAATTTAATCATTAAATTGATCGAATTCAATGTATGACACTTTCGAAATCAATCAAATCCAATTCAAAAGTACCCGAAGTGCCCTTACTTTGTGTACATTCCAACATTCTAAGTGCAAGTGTATTTGGGACATAGTCTTGAACTAAATTTTGTCAATTGGAAAATATTAATTGCTAAATTTTCTCAAATTAGCCAATAACTGAAATTGGAAATGTTAATTACAGTAAAAAAACTTAAAAATTTAACTCATGAACCCATCCATGATACATCACTTAAAGAGGGAGAGGAAGAAAATGAGATGCCAAACACGCAACAGAAAGGAAATTTTAAGAGGTCCGGTGCCGTACATACAATATTTTGCACTTGGTATTGGTTGTTGTTGGGATCTCATCATTTCATTCTATAAAATACTATCCTCCGTTCTGTTTTATTTGCAACACAGGAGACGGGCACATGTTTTAAGAAAGTCTTATCACATTTCATTGTTCAGAATGTCTGACAGCAAAACCCATGGGCCATTCTTGTTTAATCTTCTTCACCTTTTCATAGCATCTCCTTCATCTTGATTCCCTATTCTTTCCACTTCTGTAAATGTGAGGTGAGAGCAGCAACCACCTACCATCATCTATGTTGGCGCTATGATATCCGAAAATTAAAGTGTGTGAGCCATCGGCGGCCCATATACCTTGAAACCAGTCGGTCAATGCTGGTGAGAGCTCCGGATCCAGAATCTGTAATCAAGCCGGAATGGTGTATAAAGCTGAGGCACCGAATAACTTTAGAGCATTGGCTGCAGTTTTGCAGCGATTGAGGTTGTACAGGGTGTACAGTGGTGAGGACGTCAATGGGCGGCGAGTCATTCTGTTTTCTTCTCTCCCGTCGGTGGCCAAGAAAGTTTGATCGTGAGGGAGGAAAGGGTCGGGTGCAATTTATTCATCTTGAAAGTCCGGAATATTTCATACAAGAATTTATGGCCAAGAAATTGCTTCAAAATATGGATGAATAAAGGATGGAATAGAAGAGAGAGAGGTGGTTAGCATGGATAATTGAGGCCTTGAGGGTATTGAAGATAATTGCACACTTTTTTATATCTTAAAATAGAAGTGTTGCAATTATTATGAAACTTCTCAAAAAGGAAAGTGTTGCAATTAAAAAGAAACGGAGGAAGTATATGACTAGACAAATGTAATTTAGGTATTAACTACCACACAGCTGTAAATTAGGTATCTCACATTTAATTTAAAGCATGCATACATGATTTATGGCCCCTTCAAACAACACATTTATTTATATAATCACATGTAATCACCAATCCTAACTTATCCAATTCTGGCCAATCTATGTTGACTAGAAATACTTGTTTTTTACTCAATTAGCATAAAAAAGTTGCTCAAAATTCAAAGTTATAGTTCTAAGCTCAAAACGTTCTTCTAACTTAAGTCTTTGTTCATGTTAGGCTCGAGTTGAAAGCTAAAATATCAATTCCGAAAAGCCAGGATTCAGACATAATGTTGAAGTTACCTAGTCAGGTTAAACTTTGCTATCCTAGTCTCGTCCTGTGGATATACTGTACACCAAGCTTGAGCCATTTCTATATGATTGGCTAAAGGGGGGTGTCGAAAATACACAACTTTATGTTTAACAACTGTAGAATAGCTTGCATGCGTTCATGTTTTAGAGTTTCCACACACAACACATTGGGAGGCCCATATAACTCTTATACAAGCAAGTGTAATCCTTGTCTTATACTCCCTCCATCCCTTAAAACCTTGTCATCTTTCCTTTTTGGATGTCCCAAAAACTTTGTCACTTTCTCTTTTAATCAACTATTTTGTGGTTCCTGTTATTTCTCTCTCCTCTGCAAAAATCTCAACCACACAGTCTTTATTTTATTATTCTCTGTGCCGGTCAAGCTTGGCAAAGTTTTAAGGAACATAGGGGGTATCTTATTGTATTCTATTTCAACAATACTTTTGTTCTACATCATTTTGCTTCCACTATGTAATGGGTATGTATGAGGCTTGTACTACAAGTGTCCGTACTAGTGTAGGGAGGACTGCAGAGTTCCTTATTACTATCGGAGTGCACAAAGAATTGGTTTTGAGTCCTTTCTTAATTTGCAATAATCATGGATGAACTTACAAAGTCAATTCAAAAAATATACTGTGGTACATGATGTTTGCCGACAATATTGTATTGATTGATGAGACACAATATGGGGTTAAAACA